TGCCCCACAACAGGCCTAGTGCAGTAACCCAAACACTGGCAAAATACGCTAGAGCATAGGATAACTTCCAGCTCACCAAAGCACGCCAATAAAATGCTAACAAACACAAATGCCACACCAATGCCACGCTAACATCAAGTCAACTACTGAACAGCAGAGTATCTCCTTGTTGTCAACTAAGTTAAATAAGTATATTTGACCTCATTTTACCTACAGTGAAACCTGTATTAAGTGGACACCCTCGGGGAATGCTGTCCGCTTAATACAGGGTGTCCGCCTAATACAGGTTTCGATAGATAACGTCATATGAGGTGTCAAATGCCATTCAAATGAACAGTGGAAACGTTTAGAATACTTCCAGAGACTATGACGATATACGTTTGCATTAATTTCTTTATTAAAGAGGACCAATTGATCATAGTACCATAAACATAGATTGCAACTCAAATTTGAAGAACTCAGATGAGTGAAACAAGCTCTATACAAACAAACGAAATAGAATACAGTACCGTACTGTGAAACTAATCAAATAAGTTTGTCAAGTCACGTTTTTTAATTTAAAAATCGAAAAATTTGTGGGTGGCAATCTTTCGCATTTCCGGTGTCTGGCATGTTGGGTGGTGGAATTTAATTACAATTGTCCGTTTAATACAGGTTGGCAACAATAGAAATGACCATTTCAGGTACTTTTTAGGTGTCTGCGTCCGCTTGATACAGGTGTCCGCTTAATAAAGGTTTCATTTGAAGTAAATAAGAGAAATAAATTTGGGGACCTCGGCTACTGTCCGCTTAATAGAGGGTGTCCGCTTAATACGGTATCCGCTTAATACAGGTTTCACTGTATTTGACAATGTATCCAATGAATGTACTAATTTACTTGGCAAAAAGATTATTTCTTGCAGAGTTCCAGGACTGTTTACATGTACATTTCCTAGTGAATGCAATCAACTTTCTCTAATACAGACACCTTTAGAACTGGAACTATTGTCTCTGCCTTAGAGATGTCTGCCTCGTAGAGAGTACGAGTGAACAAAGGCAGGGGCCAATTCTAGGTCTCCATTCTAGCAAGGTATCTGTCTTATAGAGGCATCCATTAAGAGAGAGTTGACTGTATACTAATGTCCTGAAGAAAAACTCTTTGAGAATGGCATTCATTTCAACTGGAACTCAGTTT